ATCTTTAGCTGTATATAAAAATATCTTGTTTAAAAGAAATTGTTTTAAATAAAAGTATTTAATGAAATTGGAATTATGTAAATTTCGTGGTCTTGGATAATTTTGGCCAAATTTGTTAATTCTGGCCGAAATTAACATCACGTGACACCAGAAAAATAGTTTAGCCACCGGGCAAAAAATTTTTTATCGGCTGGCATGAAAATTTAATGTTACACAATTTGTAATTCTGGCAGGCGTTATGAATTCTGGCCAGAATTATTGCCGATCATTTGTAAATCCAATCCGGTTTCCGGTTTCTATCCGGATTATCTGATCCGGATTCAAAATCCGGGTCAATCCGGATATAATCCGGATTTTTTTTTTGTGTAATCCGGATGACGGTTTTCATCCGGGTCGAAGCACTAGTCATACCCGTACAACATCAGTGTAACAAATATAATACATGCTGTATCAGGTACGTATTATTCTCATATAATTTATGTGTCGACTGTGTCGTATTTATTATTTTTAAAGATTAATGCTGGAAGAATTTTAATTGATTGTATTTATGATGCCGAATAATTGCGTAATAACGATAAGCTGAATTGATAAATTCAACAAAGAAGATCCAACAAAAAATCTCGATCATATGACATTTACCTGACAAAAGAAACGAATTCGTAAAAAAAAAAAAATAATAATTTTTACATCATTTTATATATATAATTATAATTTACAAAAATTAGTATAGATTACAACATTCTTAATTTATTTTTTTTTCGTATTAATTTCAGTATGTCGGCCAAATGTTTGGCGTTGTTCTTATCGATAAAAGGTTTAGAATGGATTTTAGTTTCACAATTTTGGTTTCACAATTTTGGTTTGTTCCACAATTTTTTTGAGAAAAAAAATTATTTTTAACAAAATTAAGCAGCGCAGAAATTTCAACGAAAATAATATTACATTATTCTTTTTCATTTTTTATTATTATTTTATTTTAATGAAGACAATATCTGATATACATTTTTTTATTAAAGGAAAAAAAAAAAAATTACGTACAAGATTTTTTTATTTTTTTTTTTGTAGTAAATTGTGTTGATGTTTGATGACTTTAAGACTTTGAAAAAAACTAATAAAAAAAATTCGACATTTATAATAAGAATTTGGCGGTAGAATTGTTATAAAAAAAAAGAGCGCGAAAATTCCCTAATTAATTTTTTTTCTTTGCTGATTTGATTAAAAAAATTAAAATTTAACAAGGTGAATATTAGTAAAAATATATGGGATAAAATATATGTAATAACAAAACATAAAAATCAAGATATTAAAAAAAAAAAAAATAATAATCGAACTCTTAAATTAAAGATTAAATTTTTATAAATTTAGATATTATATAGAATCTTACGTGTTTTAAAATCATAGTTTAGTTTCCTTTCTAATAATAAGAGGAAGGGAAAAACTTGAAAGAGAATTAAATGAATATTAATATTGTAAAAGAAAAGACAAGGAAAAGAAACAAAAAGAAACTGAGGAAAAGTAGAGAAATCTGGGGAAAATGTAACTGTATTTCATTGCCAATATATTTTTTTCGTAGTTCTCTTAGTATCTCTCGTTCGTTATTAAAGAGATATTCTAAATTTAGAGTAAGAAAATAATCATAGAATCTCTCATGTCGGCCATGGATTTATCATCCAAGAAATTTCTTTCCACGATTATTTCCCTCGTGATCATAACATTATAATGTGACCATTCAAAGTAACTTTAATTTGGATTTACTTTCTAATCGACATATCCTTTATTTTACCGGTAGGGCCGTAGGGGTATCTTATCACAGTATTTGCCTCAAGTATTTTATTAGCACCTACGGTCTATCCACGAAATATTGGAAAAAAAAAGATTTTTAATTTTATGTACACGTAAATCAGATTTCTGAGACGTTAATTTTGACTTTATCAAAGCTTACCTATTCACATTAAAAATGGTTTAACATGAGATTTTAACACTAGCTAGAATAGTCCATACTTCATTAAATTTTATGTGTATCGTACTTTTCCAAACTGTGTATGAAATGATCCAATGGCATCTTCAGGAATTTCAAATCTCTTTTTCGTAATGATAAATTTAATATTAAAAATTTAAATTTATTAAAAAAAATAAAAATTTTGTATTTTGTAATTGGAATGTATTGTTATCGAATGCGTACTGTTACCGGTAATAACGGTAATTAAGAGTTGGATAACTAGCGATATTATATCGTATAAACACTCGATTATCAACAGGATTCTTACTCAATACTACCTATCCTGGTATTCCGGTATTGTTCGTTAAGAATCGTCAAGATAAACAACTACAAAATACGATAAATAATAATACACAATGGTTAAAATAACAAATGTTATGTGACTGTTAGAAACAACGGGTAATATTGACCAACATATAACGATTTTATTAAATAAGTGTGAATTCGGGTTTTTACAACAAAGTGATAAAAAGTGATAGAAAGGAATAGGAAATATATCTTAAAGATATTTTACTATAAGACAATTACGGAAAATAACTATGAGATATCCCCTTTATCAAAGAGTTGGCAGAAGGTATATTTATAGCTAACTATCATCTCTTTTTCTGTCATCAAGGCGAAATCTAATCTATAGATATCTATTAATGGGTTATTGATTTCCTATTGTTAAGTTTCATCGTGAGATATCGTAATATATCAATATGATTATAAGCCACTTTAATAAAGTACAAATGGTAATTTTGGACGGTTAATTACTATTGAGCTAATTTCCCCACAATAACTTCTAATAAAATCTTATACATATAAACAATACAAATAAAGAAAATAAATAATATAAACAATAATAATATGAATAATATAATAATACTACTTATGTAAATATAATAAAATAAAATAAATAAAATCAATATCTTCTATTAGGTTAATCTGGTGTACACAAATCACCGGTTGTATATCGATATAAATCGGCACATAATATCAGAAATCGACATGTACACAAATGTACTGTATTCATATCGGATCGTCATATATCGACGGAAATCATGTGAACAAAATTTCGCGTAACAGTACTGTATACAAAAGTTAATTTAACCTTAAATATAGGTTTTAACAAACTATCATTTAAAACTTTATTACTGTCGGCATCACTTACATGTTGACATAAAATTACCTTTATCAGTTATTAAATAATTCATTACTATCATATAATTCATATTCTAACCTTATAAAAAAAGTGGATACGTTTTTTATATGGAATTTATACGGAAAAATACGTTTATATACTGAAAGATACGTTTTGCACACTGAGAGATACTGAATTGGTCAATTTTAAATCAACATACTCTTTGTAGCAATAATAAATGCAAGAAAAAAAAGATTATGAAATTATATTTTTTTCTGTCTATTATTTTTTTTTTTTAAAAAAAATTATTTTTCCGAATATGGTAATATGATTAATAAACTAATCTTTTTTAGTTAGTAAAATAAAAAAAATCTGATCAAAATTTTATTAAACGGATTAAGCCCACAAAAATCTTCAATGGTGTAATATCAGAAAATATAATTTATAAATTTTTAGTGTTGTACTGCGGTCCAAATGACCTTAAACTAGTACATGTTAGATTTTTTAAGAAATCGTCAGTTTAGATTTTTAACTTTTTTTCAAGAAGTTGAACAAGGAAATCATCTAATCGGATAAGGTGAAAATGAGAAATCCGGTTTCATCTAGCCATTTGTTGTTGTGAACGAATTCAAACTTGATGTTTTTTACATTCTCTGTTAAAACTGTATGTACAGTATGTTTAGTGTTGCAGAAATTTGAGAACTGTATCAATTTATTGGTCAATTATTAAAAGTCAGATGAATACATGAAATTTTTAGCCATAATTAGTTTAGAAATATGTAAAATTCAATAAATTCCCACATATTCTATATCATATCGAATTTTGTGGATCTACGCTGAAAATACCACATGTTTTGTCATAGGTATTTGGGAGATATTAGAACTATTCAGATTTCCACATATTTTCAGTTTTTCACAATATTCGATGTGGATTTTCATGTGGATTTTAAGTGAAAAAAATTTCTTGATGTAAGAGCATAATTATAATTTAAAGTCTTCAAATTTTATTTCAAGACATTTATTTAACTGTTTTAACAATTGTGATTTAAACAATAATTTACATTAAGTAACACATTTTTTCATGGAAATTTTATGTATCAGGTTATGCTTACTAAAAATAAGAATTTGTAATGGTCATGCTCAATTACAAACTGATTTATTTATATAAAAACTACATATACTTTATGATCAGTGTTGAACAATAACTAATTATAATAAATAAAAAAAAATATAATTCCTTTATATTCCATAAAACTATTAATAATATTGAAATTATATCTGATTAATTATCAGTGTTAGTAATAGAAAGAAGGTTGTTAACTTATGATGTAGAACATTAAAGAGCAGTATCAATGCATTATTAAAAAACTTTATGGAAAGATGTAAAAATAATAGTCAGTTGTTATCTTCACTTTAAGCTTTATCATAGTAAGATATCAAGGAATTCAGCAAATCTAATTGATATGTTCAATAATAAAGATATTTTGAAAGCTAAATACCATATGATTTACGAATAAAATTTAATAGGAATATCATCAATCAGTAATTGCACAACTTAAAAATTCAGATTTTGGAAAATCTTTTGTAAAAAAATTGGACACTAATTACAATAATTGAGATGTATAAATAGCTTCTGGATGATTTTTGTTTTTCTTAAAAGAAGAGAGGTGTGATTTTCTGTAAATTTCTGCTTCTTTAAATTGTTTTCTAATTTCAATTACATTTGAATCACCTTTTTTATAAGAACTATAACAATCATAAAATGACTTAAGTTCAACATTTATTTCAATAGCATTTGGTCTATTATCTGGATTTGAATCCCAACATCTTCTCATTAAGTCAGTATAACATTTTGGCGCTTCCAGTTCATTTACCTCAGGTCTAATTCCATTGCATATCTCTAATTTTAGATCATGGTCATGTGCACAATTGTTGAAAGGCTGCTTCCCAGTTGCAGTGAAATACATAATCATACCAAAGCTATATATATCTGCTGCCTGAGTATAAGCTTTATCTCTCAGCACTTCAGGAGCCATATAAGAAATAACTCCGTAAGTTTTTACCTCACCTGTATTATTTACATCTTCACATAATCCCATATCTGATATTACTACTGATTTTTTATTGAAAGTATTTAAGTTTTTTGTTAAAAACAATATGTTTCCTGTATGAAAATCATGATGAACCTTATGTTTTTTATGAATTCCTCCGAGACCTTCGATGATACTAAGTAGTGTTTGTATTTTATTTTTCCAATCGAAATCTTTATAATTATTATTTATCCAATTACTATAACTTCCACCTTCTGCATATTCAAGAACTATAATAATTTTTTTTGTATCGGGATCTTGGGATATTCCATATACATTAAGAATACTACTATTTTTATTAATTGAATATTCACTAACCTATTTTAATAAAATTATTAATTAAAAAGCATTCCGATTAATTAAAATAAATTTATTAAGAAATTTCATACCTCATTTAGTAATTTATCAGTTAAATTTGGTGAATTATTTAGACATTTTAAAGCAACTTTTTTGTTTGAAACTCTTGTATACATTTTCTTATCTACTGTATATCATATTTTAATGGACCATCTTTCCATATTGCTGAATATATTATAGAAAATCCGCCTTTACCTATTTCCTTAATGTAATTGATTATATGGTATCCATTCAAATACTATATTAAAACAAGAATTTGTTCTTAATTTCATTTCTTGAATTAAATCATCAATTTTTTCATTCTCAACTGTCCATTTTGTAAAAATATTTGTACATGGCTTACACCACAAATATCTTATTTGAGTAAATTTTATTCCACAATTTTTACAGTATTTTTTACCATATTCCATACAATATTCTTTTTGAAGAGCTAAAATGTAATCTTTTTTATCTGAATTTTGCGATAATCCATATATTTTGCAGCTACTATCAAATTCTTCAACCTGTTAAATTAAAAATATATCATTAAATTAAAGAAAATTAAATTAAATTAAAAACTTTTTCATACCTTATCTAGAAGTTTTTGTGAGTCATTATAATATAATAAAGTAACTTCATATTCCCATATTGCTGCATATATTGAAACAAACATTCCTTTGCCTATTTTTCTAATTTTATTAAACTGATTGAATGGTATCCATTCAAATCTTGTATCACTTCGCTCATTAATTTTTAACTGAATTAAACTATCAATTTTGTCATCTCCACTTTTCCAGCTAATGAAATTACATGGTTTACACCATTTATACTGGATATCTGTATATATCTCATCACATATGATACAATCTTTTCCAAAATTTTCATTACTAAAAACCAGAATATAGTCATTGGTATCTGGATTTTGAGATATTCCATACAATACAAGAAGCTTGGCATTTGTTGTTGAATATTTTGTAGCCTAAAACCATAAAAAATTAACATTATAACAGATAATATTAAAAAATGTAATAATAAATGTAATAATATTTATAGAAATGTATACCTCGTTTATTAAAATATCAACAGGATTTTGCATGTTATGCAAACATTTTAAAGCAACTTCTTTATTTGAATCTCTTGTATATTTATTATTACATAATGGACCATTCCTCCATATTGCTGAATATACTGTTATAGAACAATTATTGCCTATTTCTTTAATTTCGTTAAACTGATTGTATGGTATCCATTCAAATACTACATCATTGTATAAATCAGTATTTAATCGCCTTTTTTGAATGAATTTATCAATCTTTTCATTTCCGCTTGTCCAATCTAGTCCGCTTTTTAAATATTCAATTTCTTCTTGGGAAGTCATTTTTTTTAGAGTTCAAAAAAATATGAAATTTTATTTATAGTGACAATGATCATTGTACTGCATGATAATGATGCATAACAACTTCCCCCAAAAAATCACTTGCGCGTGACCGATTTGCAGATCATAATTTATCAAAATTTGTTTTTTGAATAAAACTTAATACAAATGTTATTCAGCTTTTATAATCCTAATTTCTATAGGAATAAATAATTTCTCTACAAGTTTGTTTAGGGTTAAAAGAAAGGGTTGTATACCATTTTTCGCTCTTTTATATTTAATTTTGTAAAAGTTAATCTTAGCAAATAATTGCATTCATACCCCATAATTTCTCCCTAAGTAAACTTGCAGAAAAAGCAAAAATGCGTATAGGATTCAATTTTGGAGTCTGCATAGTGGTTTTGCCAAGTTTTAAAAATATAAATTTTCTCATTAACGGATTTTTGGAAATGATCTGCAAAAAATTTGATCACGTGCCGGTGGTTTCTTGGGGTTACGCCGAAATCATAACAATATGAATGCGAAAATCATTGTTTCAACAATTGTTTCAACAAATTCTTTTGTTAGGCTGCTCCTTACATATTTCACATAGTAAAAAACGCTAATTACAATATTTTCAAAGGTAACACAAATAATAAAACTGCGCAAAAAAATTAATAAAAATGTATGTACTGTACTTTTATTTATAATTAGGCAGCTATTATAGTTTGATATATTTTATAAACAAATACAGAATTTATTATTATTTAGGAATTATTTTAGTTCAGATAATTTTAGAGAAAAAATCTGAGAAAATTAAGTTTTAAGCTAACTGATATAATTAATCAATATATTTGACATTATATACTTTGAGAATATATAGTATGTTCATTTTTTTATAAACATATTCAGTTGTTTTTCGTCAAGAAGCTGTTTGCTTTTAAAAAATAGAATTAAAACATTAATTAAAACAAAACAAATATAGTAATCCAAAAGTGACAAGAAGGTAACCTTTTTTTTGAAAATGTGACACGTAATCTGTTTGAAAATATTTCTTCGATGATTAGCTGAACATACTATACCAAATCAGGAATATTTTGAATGAGGTTACCCGTATAACATCAGTGTAACAAATATAATACATATCAGATATCATTCTCGTATCCCGCAAACGTAATTTATGTGCTATTTTTCATTCTAATTAGTTCATTATTTTAAAGATTAATTTTATTTGATTGTACTTATGATGCCGAATAGTTGCGCAATAACGATAAGTGAAATTTCTGATAAATTCAACAAAAAAAATTCTCGATTATGACATTTATCTGACAAAAGAAGCGAAAAAAATTCTAATTTATAAAAATATTACATATGAGGAGCACGTGTAGATTACAACACAATTTTTAATTTATTTTTTCTTCGTATTACTTAATTTCGGTATGTCAGCCAAATGTTTGGGTAAATTGGGTATCTTTTTCACTGTAATATCGGTAAAAGGTTTAGAACGGATTTTAGTTTCACAGTTTGGTTTCACAATATTGGTTTCGCAATTTCGGTTTCACAATTCTGGTTTCACAATTTTTTTGATATGAACGTTGAACCTCGAAAAAATTATTCTTAACAAAATTATGCGGCGCAGAATTTTCAACGAAAAATGTTGCATTTCTTTCTTATTCCTTTTACTTTTATTTTTTATTAAAAAAAAAAAAAAGAAAAGAAAAAGCTACGTAGATTTTTTTCAGGAATTTCAAATTCAAGGTAAATCTAACCGCGTGTGGAAATCTTATTGAAGTGTAACATATATTGCTGTTATTCCACTGTTATTCCCCTAAAATATCGAAATGAAATGTTTTTCGGATATGGAAAAAAATATTAGTCTGATTAAGGTAATTTGTTGATAAAGATGATGAAGCCGCAAATGTTGTCATTATTGCTGCCATGATTATTTTATTCTAGCATAGAGATAATGGAAAAAGATGTTACGACGAGCAACGAATGTGAAGAAAGCTATTGTATCTCTTTTTTTTTTTTAACAAACGTTCCTAATATATACTCATTAGTTTATTATATTATTCTAATATACTAGAATGATTTTGTCTGACGGTTAGTTACACTGAGTAAAATCGATAATTTGGTTAACTATCACCTAGCATAACGAAAATGGTAGCCGGATTTATTTTCCGGTTACACATGTCGGTTGCATATGATTTCTGGATTATCAGAATTATTAAAAAGTTTTTTTATAATTATAGTTTTGAGTCAAATATTTTAACTTTATATTCTTTATGATTCTAATATAATTATTCCCAATTGAAAATCTTCATAGCTTAACGGTTTTTTAACACCATAATATTGTTACTCATTTTATCTAATGACAAATTTTGAACGAACATTTTTAACCATAAATGTCATTTTAGCCTAATATGTGATTCTTCTTTTAAAGAAGAGAAAAATCGATTATTTATTTAATCTGGCGTACAGTAATTCTTTAAAATGAGACTACTATCCGAAATCACACGTAACCCAGCATGTGATGCTAGGGTCGTTGTAGTTGATTTGATTCCACTTAATGAAATTTTGATCAGATATTTTGAAGTAATAAATTTTTTATTAGTTTTTTCAGCTTTTGATTTTATACCGAAAAAGTTTTTCTTTGGATTTTTCAGTCCAACCGAAAAATAAATTTTTGTATTATAACTAGGGATGGAAAAAATTCGAGTTGGGCGACTTGATTGGTACATCGTTTTTTTTTTTTAAAAAAAAAAAATAATTGCACTGCATTTCTTTATTAAACTCTTTAAGAGTACACATTAGGAATTGGTACATCGGTTTCAAAATCGGTTTTAATAAACTTTGATATATACTGACTCGGATCTAGACCAGTGACATAAACCGATTATTGAACAGAACTAGTTTCGGTTTGACACTGCTCAACTCTGTTTTTTCAATAGATAAGTTCAGAACTGAATCGAACCGAGAAAGTCGTCCCCTATCACATATAACATCATTCTGTTACAATTTTTTATTCACCAAACAAAACGTATAAATTCACCCCTGCTTCTATGTCAACGTAACAACTGAAAATGCATTAAAGAGGGATTTAAAATATAATAAATGCATTCTTATAAAATTTTTACGGAAACTCAACTTTCTAAGTTGATTCAAAAGGATTGCGAGTTCACTAAGAACAAATCAACTATTAATTATGTATGTATATAGCGCCTTTTACACCAAATTCAATAGGCGGCACTTAGCAATACCGTTAATGGATTTAAAAATACTTTGCTTTTTAATTCCTCAGAACAAAATGGATAGCAGCATTCTACTTGACATTCATATTATCAACCACTTGGACCATGATCACGAAAATCCTCTCGTAAGCCGAGGAAACGAAGCAAATGAAACAGAGAAAAAAATTTGTAGGTAACAAAACACAGGATTAGAATTAAAAACCAATATAATCTTTTATTTTATCATTTTTTGTACTATAGAAAAATGCTCTCCGTGACTGTGATACTGCTCACTCATTCATGGAACCACTTAAATACTAATTTTATTAAAACAACTTCAATATCCATAGCAATATAAACACTTTTATGAGATTACTAATGTTTTTTCACTTTACAGTATATCTTTAGTACTTTTTTAGGACTTTGAAGATAAAATCAAGTCATTTAGCAGTTATAGAGTTGTTTTAGATATTAATTTTTATTATGTTAGTTTGAATATTTATTATTTCTTTACGTGTATTTGAAACTATTTAATTAGAAATAATATTTATTTATTTGCTTACTAAAATTGATTTTATTGTAAAAGCACTAAAATAATTTATGTAGTTTTTTTTTAAAAAAAAAAAAAAATTCTTTTTTAAATGTTACGTGGGCAATTATTAAAAAAAAATATATATTTGTTGTATGAATCTCGTGGTAAATATACAGTATAAGGGGAGTGACGTACTGTATGGTAAAAAAAATTTCATCTCATGTTAACGTAATTATGCGAACTTTTGTTACCGACCTGATTCAAGTAATTCAACTGGGGGAGTGGAAAGTGAGTAACGTAGATTGCCTAATTGAGTAATGTAAGAATTACTCGATCTACGTTACTCCTACTAGTTCGTCAATGATGTGTAGAATTCACGGATAAATAATCCTTTAAACATGTCATATGGGCGAATTGATGATCGGAATTTCGATCATTTTGGCTAAAATTAACGTTAATTTTGGCCAAAATGATCGAAATTCCGATCACCAAGTGAGTCAAATCAGCTTCGCTGAAATTATATTAAACATAGTGTTAATTGATCTTCCAATAATGTGAGCAATTCTCTTCCAATAATTTATTACGAACAATGTAACACTGTTGCACTTCGTTATTGGTGGATATTGAATACTCTAACTTTATAATATATTATTGGCATATATTATTTTGATTATTATTAAAACGTATTCATTATGTTTATGTTTTAATAATGCTAAAACTGGTGCCCAATAAATAACATGTGTGAATACCGTTAAATTTTTTAATAAATCAAATTTTGGTAATATTAAAATAAATGTAATATCAGTTTATTGTTTGTGATGATGTGTTAAATCAAACTGTAAATTTTAACGGTTATTTAAATAAATTAACAAAGCCTTTGATTGTCAAATAATATTTATTTTACATTAAAAGTTAAAACCATGGTTGAAGCCATTCAATGTTTGAAATTTCTATCAAAAAAAGGAAATTTATTTTTTCTCCACGCACCCATCAATTTTTTTAACGCTTCAATTTTTAAAAAGTTTAAGCCTCCCAACCTTTAAGATCCAGCCCCATGATATTTAAAATCCAAGCTAACATATTGAAATAATTAATGATATTATTCGCCAATTTTTTATCGCCTCACTTTAAGAATAACCTACGATCTAGCATCATGATATTTAGAATCCAAGTTAATTAACTTGTTACCATAATATAATTAGTTGTATTATTCGCCAATTTTAACGCAATAATATTAATAATTTAAGCCTCCCCAGCCTTACTAACGATGATATTCATGAGATTGATTGTATTGGTAATCAAAACAAGGCTTGTCCTCTCTATCATATTTAAATTCAGATTACTAATGATCATCATTGGTTTTTTTTTACGTACAAACGTTATAATGCTTTCAGTAAAATTCCTGTTGTTATAATAAATATATATTTCAATGCAATCGCACTTCGTGTTCTCATATTAATTGTGTTTATAATAATATTAATTTTTACATTTACATTTATTATTACTTACTTTCTAACTTTCTTACTTTCTACAATATAATTGCCAAGAATCTATTTAATGCAATTATTTTAATAATTGTTTTGGCCATACTCGTAACTTATACATCTTCAAGAATTGATGCGCCGTGCTCAACACATCAATAAGGCGGGTTTGAAACTTATTAAGAAATTTGAAGGTTTCCGTTCTAGATTTTATGTTGATAAAGTGATAAGTTCATTTTTTTATTGATTAAACAACATAGTTAAATGAAACACATTATTATTTATTATGTCACCAGGGCATAATAACTATTGGTTATGGTCATGCTTGTCATGTTTATGATTGTAGTAAAATTCACCCTCCTATCAGTCGCGCTAAAGGAGAAGCATTGCTCAAAAAGGATTTAGTCGTGTTCGAAAAATGCGTTGACTCGCTCACTCAGATTAAGCTAAATTCCAATCAGTTCTCTGCCTTGGTTTCATTTACCTACAACCTTTGTTGTGAGGCTTATCGAAGATCCACGTTGCGTAGAAAGCTTAACGCTGGTAACACCAAAGGAGTTTAGAAGATGGGTCTACGCTGATGGCAGTAAATTGAGGGGCTTGGTGAGACGTCGTAAAGTCGAAAAGGAAGTTTTTTTGCAAGAGCGGTGGTTGCTAAAAGTCATTATATGTGTACTATTTACTTTATTGTATTTCTAGTTTTATTCGTAAAGTAATCAATAAAAATAATTTATATTATAAGTTAGGAAAAAAAATTAAGCTTTTACAGATTTTGAACGTAAACTTTAAATTGAGTGTTAAATAAAAAAATCGTAAAATTATTAATTATCGAAACGCGAATTTTTGTGCCGGTCAAAAGATGTTGCAAACAATATTAAATGTTATTTAGAGTTACTATTGTCCATTGACAGGTCAATTGAAGTGTTAAAGAAATTTTAAGAGATTACGGCGAAGTATGATGAAGGTGACATTGAATATTATATTGAATAGTATCGAATACCGATATGTATTTTAATTATGCGATAAATACTTGTATGAAAAAATTTTATTTTTACCATAATAAAAATTATTTATTGTTCAAAAACTAATTATTTAAGGTTAATTTCTTACGTAGGGAATATACGAAGTATTTTTTTTTCTAAGATTACACAATGAAACCACAATAGTGGCTTGACAAAGTTCCATGAACCAACGAACATGGATCAGCGTTTTAAGGACAGAATGGAATTACGCAAGCACAAATCATCAGGATTTACCGAGTCAAAAAAAAAAATTCTACATAATCGGATAAAAGTGCTGCCGGTAATTTTACGTCATTTATTGTAAGATTTGCATATAATTGCATATCAACTGATCAATATTAACGTTTTTAAGGTAAGAATGTCGATCATGCAGCAAATTTGAACTTTAAATTTTTTAACTATAATAATATTTTTTGATTGTATTATCTGTTTTTTTTAAAAAGAAATTTAATATTTCTTTTTAAAACTTACCACATATAATTGTTACAAAAAAAAAAAAAAAAAAAAAAAAAAAAAAGAATTTTTTTTTTTGCCTCGTTTAAATTTTAAATTACATATTTTTTTTTTAACCCGTCTTTTTGAGTTGGATCCGGTTAACGATGATCATAACATGGCTATCACCTAAGAAATCGCGTATCAAACTAATATTCAAAACAAGGCATATCTGATATCCTTTTTTTCATCACGTGATTTCACGTTAAAAACTTTCTCTAATGTATATAGTTATCACTATTTTTTCACTTACAGTAATATAATGAATAATTCAATAGTCAATAGTTTAATTTACTGTTCCACATCTGACAGTACACTCCTATAATACGGACCTCATTGTTACTTATGATAACTTTGTGTGTTGTTTCGAGTCCTTTTCATATATGTAGTTTGTTAAATCGGTGGACGTACGGTTGTCTTCGACAGCTTTATTACGGTTTTTTATGTATATTTTAAAAAATTACATTTAGCATGTACTGTGATATGATTAGTACTTTATAAATAAATCAAAATTTATTATTATTAATTATAATGTAAAGCTTTATTTAAATCTTAGGAAAGGAAGAGGTTAGAATTAGTGTACCTTAGATTCTTAAAAACAATCCTATAGTACGTTGCTTATACTAATAAGAATTCTTGATTCATAGAAATTGAGCGATTACTGTAAATAAAGTAATCGTAATATAAAGTATCAATATATCGTAAGAATATTAACGATTATACGCTTGCAGTTCAATCATCATTCTGTTAAAGTAAGTGTATGTTATTCTATTATTCTAAGTATGATATTTTTAATATTGCAGCAATTTTTTACTATATAAAAATAATTAAAATTAGTAATGTTTGATGACATCATCTTTTATTAGATTTATTTTCATTACATCATTCATCATTACCTAAAACTTTGGGGTTTATCGGATATTTTCATAGTCGTAATATTTTTATGAATTTGTCTTTTAGTTGAATCGGCATTAAAATTACATAACTTTTCCGGTTATTACAGTTTTTCTCCTGAGATGAGTTTGGAAATTCAACGTTCAATATTGTTTCGCAAATTCGTGATAAAAATAACATAAACCTATTTTTAAATATCTTTGAAAAAAAGCTATTTTATTATAATTTCGGAGAGTTTCATCGTCTAATAACACAAAGACAAATTTTATTACGTTCCATAATTTGTAAGCATAATTCTTAAAGAAGAGAAGAAATCAAGTAAAAAATTTAAACATTACATCATTTATTCAAAGTTTGATTACCAATCGTTTTATTTCACTTCTTTCACGCGGTAATTAATTACCGATTTATTAATAATCCTATATATATATTTTTTACATTATAAATTGGTTAATTCAAATTTGACGCAGAAAAACTGTTTTTTTTTTTACTTGAAAAATACTATTATCATATTAAGTCATAAAATCAATCTTTTGTAACTCTTATTAAAATCTGAAAAAAGGAATTTTCTATAAACAATAAATTTACACTCCGGAAGATCATTCATCTTTGATAATCAAGATAAACAAACAATTATTAATTAGTTATCTTTTTTTAGTATGAGGTATGAGAGATTGTATATTTATGTTTGGTTAATTCACTTGATCGGAGTTTAATAATTAATAAAAAAAAAAAAAATACTAATTTAAAAAAAAAAAAACTTACTTGCATTATTGTAAATAATTTATATAAAAGATGATATCATATATGATCATTTCATTTATCATTATTCTGTTGTACGACAATATTTGTTAAATGAAAAAATTCAAAAAATATTAGCATCGGGTGTTTTATGCATCTTTATGTACATTATGAGCGATAAATGGTCGCAGTCATCAAAAAAACTAAAAAGTCTTTCTTCACATAATTTATATGTTAAATAAAGAAATGTATTAATATATTATATACATGAAGAAATATTTAATATGGTTAATCAGTATTTTACGTAGTAAGGGCATCTCTTTTTTCTTTTTTTCTTAATTTTCTTTAAGAAATTGTGAACGCATATCATTGTTACACAATTTTTTAAAGAAACAATGAAACAATGAATATACTGTAGTACATGCATACCAGTTAAAGTAAATGATCACTTACATAATGTAAATTGCATACGCGTACGGCTTTAATTTGGCCGAGCGCCGGAGTTTTCAATATTAAAAATATTGAATCGGTTTTACGAAAACACCAGCCACACACATGATCTAGTGTATAACCTTAATACAGTAATATGTACGCCACAGCGCCACAAGATGATTTTTAGATAACGATGGCAAGTCGATAAGTATAAATTCACCCAATTAATTAGGGGTCGGCCATGAAATCGAATAATAGTAATAAGAAATAAAATAATAAAAAAAAAAAAAATGAATACGTAATAAATAATTATTGTATAAAATAAAATGTATAAATCTTTTTTAGCCAAACAAATGATCAAATAAACAATTAATTTCACGTGTTGACGTGCAAAATAAAAAATAAAAAAACGCTTTATGTAATTCTTAAAGAAGTTAGATAATACCTCGTTTTCTTCTCCATATCTTACTACTATCTTTGTCATTCATGCAAATAAGATTCCGATACGTCATTAATTTATTTGATGTCATTAATTATTTGGTAATATAGTATGCATATAAGTAATTTAAATTCCGTGATTATTTTTTTTTGAAAGAATTTCATGGCATTAAAGAGAACCTTTTACGGTTCTCTGCGCTTTTCGAAAGAAAAAAAAGGAGGAATTCTTTTCTTTCTCAATGTGTTTCAAGGAGAGAATATATTTTTAGTTTCTTCATGTTCTTTTTGGAATTAATTTCACATGAGAACACTTGGGGAAGAAAAATTATAAAAAGCAGATAAAAACTCGTTCGATAATCATTCAAAAAAATCATTAAAACGAAGTAGGGAAATTAAAATGCCACGTAGCGAAAAAAAATCCAAAAAAGATACAAACGCTTATATCCATTTTTCAAAAGAATTTTATCGAGGAAGAGATACCAATAGCACCACAAAGGCAGCCGATTTGTGGAACAATATGCCGCAGGATCAAAAATTTCAATGGTATAAGTTACAAAATTTAAGAAAATTAATGAATATAATTAAAAAAAATAAAAAATTACTCAACAAATCGAGTTATGAATTGATCGTATCAACGCTCAATTCACCCGACTCTCCATTTATCATCGAAACCGAGTCGTTGATGGCAGGGTTAGCAATGGAGATGTTAGCTATGAAAAAAAACGGGGACATACCTAATGATGACGATGATGACTACGAAAAAATCCTTGAAGAATTTATACATTTAGATAGGTGTTCGTAAGTATGGGATTAAATTATAGTTACTAAACTACTTTCATAAGATATTATATTATGGATATTATGGCATAAGCAAGTTATTTAAATTAGATTAATTATTTAAAAGTTATATGATTATGAATTATATAAGGTTAATGAATTATATAAGGTTAAATATGGTTTAAAAATCTATGAACTAATAACTTTTACATATCCTTAATTTATAGAATCTATTAATAGTTAAAAATAGTTATTAGAATAATATTTTATTATCAAAAGCTTATATAGAAATTATATTGATAAATTATGTTTAAGTTTATAATTAAGAAATAGTTTAATTTTTTCAAATAAATAAATAAAACAAATAAATTATTTTTAAAAGTAATTCATGACTAAAATATATCTGATATATATATATATATATTAACGAAATGAAGAATATCATCAATAGATATTTTGTAAAATAAATATATATATATAAATAAATTCTTAAAGAATTCCTTTGAAAATTTTTTATTTCACTACTAAAGATTTTAAATGAAGTTACACTAATCAAAATTTGGCTGATGATCGTCCAAATACACACGAATTTGGTATATATTAATTTTCTAGAACTTCTTTTCGAACTTCTTTCGTAGTAGGATAATAACAATGGATAGCGTGTCGTTTTAATGTCTCTTTCTTAAGTTATGTTAAATGGTAAATTGATAAATGGTTTGTTTCATGAAATTGAATATACATTTTATACATTAAATAAATGAAAGTTGTTATCAAAAGTTGTCTGGTACACTTATCCAATTTTGTACCTAGGACATTCTTCCTTCACATTTAATTGGCGTAAATGAATTCCTAGTTAACGATATAAATTTTCTTATCATCCAATCACAAAAAAGGCATTCTTAAAAATAATCCGCCACTGCTGCACAGCTGTAGCAGTAAAGAAAAGAAAATCCGTTTTGTGATAAATAGAGCAGAATAAATTTTAATGCGATAATTCTGATCAAAATAATTCCGGTTAGAAAGTAAATTTCTTAGAAGCCCACTCTTTTCTCTCCGAGTTTTTTCTTGATGGGAACCATTTTTTGTTATCATTTCCATCTTCTAGTCTGTATAATAAGTTTTAATTCTTCTTATCTCATAGATTTGTGTTTTATTATTTTAAATTTCTACACCATTATTCTGTTTTGTATTTTACCAAAACTTATGTATGGGTGAATTTCGTTTATTATTATAATAAAGTTTAAATATTATTAAACAAAAAAAAGTTTCTTTTAAACTATCAATATGCTGAATATGATAAAAAATAATTTGCAACTTTTTAATCTTTTCAAAGAATAATACAATCGCAAGTATCACAAATCCTAAGAACTCTTAATACTGCCAAATTTAATGTTTCTTATATTATATATAATAAGAAAATTTAAGTTTGAAAAAGTAAAAATATAGATTAGCAAAATAAGCTAATTCCTTGTATACCTTTTTATATTAAACTATTCATAAATAAAATATTTTATTATCAAATTTTGAGATGGTTATCCAATCTGATTTACCTTTTTTAAAGCTATATGAAAGATTCATAAAATAATCAAGTTAAAGGTTTACATTAATTACAAATAAGACTTATATACTGTATATATGGCTTATTAAATCTTAATCTTTAGGATCATCATTATGGATTAGTTTTGATCTAACTTTTTTTTAAGTCCCATATACTGTGCATTGACCTGTCCAAGTTGTGCATTAGCTAAAAGAATAATAAATAATTTAAGCCAAAGGCTTACATTAATTACAATAAGACTTAGATATTATAGCTTAGTTAAATCTTTATCAGGATCATCACATTAATTTAATATGATGTTGTAGTATAAGGCTGCCTTGATCATAAATCATATAAATATCTTTTTATGAATTTTTTCTGATCTCTTGATTTTTTTTTATCACATTTTTATATGAGCTACTTGCGTACCACAGACAATTTTCACGAAATTTTTTCTTTTCAAAAATAAAACTTAAGCATATTGTTTGCTCCGCAAGTTTACTTAGAGCGATAAAGGAAGTTTTTGCTGCAAAATTTTAGTCTTAAATGCTTTTTTTTGTAAAAATGCGCCATATAAAGTACTTTAAATAGTATAATCGGCGTAACGGTAACCTGTCCCATTTCAGACGTGTGAATCGCAGTAGCAGTATGAATTAGATCAGCAAAACAATAAATCTGTATACCTTTTTCTTATTTTCTCTTTTGAACTTTTGCTTGGTCTTGACTTTATTCTTAATTTTAACCTTTATTTTTTTCTCTATTATAATGGTTAAAGATACGCTTGAGACTTTTTTGGATAAACTGAAATTTATCAAATTTTTCGAATCTACTACCGTTCTTTCTGTCGTTCCCCCGAATACTCCCACTGGTCAAAATAGGAATATTCGACCTTATAAAAATTTGGCCTATTTTTGGCCATAATTCGACCTAAATTAGTAATGATCTATAATTAAAAGGTTCAGATTTAGTTTTTTTCTTTAGTAGGTCGGTTCAGTTCAGCTTCCGGACTTGGAATTTCTTTTTTGTAAATTTCTTCCGTTTTGGCACTCAGAATATCTTTTTGTAGGCTTTTTCTTTGGACTTTTTTCCTTTGAAGGTTGCTTCGACTTTGGGTTTAGAAGTTTTTGATAACGTAACAATGCATTGTACGTTAATACGAAATTGCAATACATCTACAATACTGTGATTGCGTTGTTTGATACATTGTGACTATATCATAAATTGGGCTTTTTTTATATTAAAATTTTTTAAGTATTAATTTTTTTTTCATTTTCATAATATTGATGTTGAAAATGCGACTACAATGCTTATAATTGCATAGTAACGGTTATGATACTGTATTATACTGAAATAATCAATTGTTTTATGCTCAGATATTTATACTTAAGTATCAGCAAATGTAAGACAAAAAAATTCAATAATAATTTCTTAAAATATTTCTGAATACCATTTATTTTTTTTATTCCCTTATAGGCACTAATGGATATACATATCTAAAAAAAATTATAAAAAAAAAAAATCAAATTTTTTATGTCAAGCAGGAAAAAAAAATTCAAATTTCGGTGAAAAGCCTTAACAGATCAGCCACGTTTTTTTTTTTAAACTTTAACAACCTTTTTCTTTCTCACAGTCTCATTATTTCCCTTCCCCATCTTTTTCTCTTCCTCTTTTTTCACCCTCTCTAATAAAATCTTTAGCGGAACGTTTAGCAACATTTTGATATTTTTCTTTATTAGACAAAAATCATTGCATTATGCAATGAAAATTAAGAGTTTATAACGATTTTTTTTAAAAAAAAAAATAAGTAATTATAACTTAAATGACAAAAAAATTTTGGTAAAAAAATGGATTGAGAAAAAGCTAGAGAATGAGTATATTCATTATTTTAAATATGATGAATTTAAAATCGATGAAGAAGAAATTGGTAGAGGAAGGGATATCAGGATTCCGGTAAGATTTTTTTTCTTTTTTTTTCATCTTAATGAACGGTTCTAATGGTTCATTTTTTTCTTTCTTTAGATGGTTCTTTCAAGTTACTTTGGAAGACATTTTGGTAAAATTTTTTATTTATTTCTTCCATCTTTTAACAAATGGTTCCTAACAGTTCGTTTCTTTCTCTTTTTAGGTGGTTCTTTCAGTTTGTATTTCTTGTGGTAAGTTAAATTTTTTTTTCTTTCATTATTTTATATTTGACAAAGCATTAACTGGTGGTTAACTAAAATTTTAAAATTTCCAACAGTTGGTTTCTTTATACTTTTTTAAATTCTTTTGAATTAAATTTTTTTTATTTTGATAAGACGTTAACTATCATTTCATTTCGTTTTCTTTCTTTGTTTATAGACAGGTCAGGCCTTTGGACATGTGAAATTTTCAACGGTTAGATTTTTTCCTTTTTAAGTTCTTTCAGATTAAATTTTTTTCATTTATATTTAATGAAACGTTTAACTAATGTTCCATCTTCTTTTTTCTTTTTTTTAAACAGTCATGCCTTTTTCTTTTTTTAGGTTCTACGTTTCAATACTTTTCTTTCAGATGTCTAGACCTTTTGACATGTGAGACTTCAGTGGGAACTATTTTTGACAGGAATTGTATTACTATTGGCATATAATGAATCAAAATGAAAATTTGACTTTGATTCTGGATATAGAAGAGCGGATACAAGAACTTAAAATGCTCCCTCATCACGAAAAATTATTTTACTTGTTTTATAGGTTCTGTAAAGTTTCAAATAGCGGAATAGGGTATTAGAATCTTGAAATGGTAAGTTTCATAACGAAATTTACCTTTTTCTTAGTATTGGAAACATCCTTATTTTTTACTTTTTTTTGTAGTTATAGAAGGGCTTTGGTTGGGTACCTGGAGATTGGAGACAGTAAGTTTCTTTGCGAAACTTACTTTTTTGTTTTCTTTAATAAGAAACATTTTTTAATGTTTCTTTTATTTTATTTTATTTTATTAGATCTTGGCTCCTTCAAAACTTCTTGTTATTAGACAGATTATTTTTTGGAGTTATTAAACATGTAGAATTTCGGTAGGAGGCTCCCTTTCTTGGGATTATTTCATTTTAAAGAAAGGTTTCGTTTTTTTGGAACTTTTTAAAATTACCTTTAGTATTAAATAATTTTATTTTTAGATACTTTTATACATTTTATATAAAGAATTATATAATCAATACTTAATAATGGATAAATTAATAGTTTAGCTATTGTAGTATGTAATATATAACATTGTTTGCTTTATTAAATATATATGCAAATAAAGTGTGTTTACAACGTTGTAAAAAATAAATTACTACATTTTGACTATATGTTTACAATAGTAAAATAGGTACAGTGAAATCATTTTATGGTAAATTAAAGTAGCGTAGTGTGATACATTTTCTCACTTTTGCAACGTGTCGTATGACGTTTAATAATGACGCACAAAACAACGGATGAATCACGTGATTTTGGCGTAGTTTCAACGTTGTTTAAAAATATGAAGTTTCTGCAATGTGGTATTACTCTTAAAAATATTGTTATACTTTAACAACGAATCAAAAATGATGGAGGCAATTTATAAATCGGCGATGGAAGCAAGAGAAGAATTTGGATGTGGACTTCAATAAAGAGTCAACAAGAATTATTTGGCAAAAATGAAAAAAAATAAGTTTAAGGGACCAACGAAAAAAGTTCGTTTCAAATCAACAAATACTTCATGTTCTACTAGTTATATTAGTGTTCAGTTTTATTATGAGATTTTACTTATAAAAAATACAATAAAATGCGATATAGTTCTATTATTATATGACGATCAAATACCGACATTTTCACACTAGTTTTCTTATTAATCTTTACAAAATAATATTTTTACCATTATGTAATTAGTAATTAGTTTTTTGTTAATTTTATTAAGGTTAAATTGATTAAATAAAAAAAAAAAATTAAAATTGAGATTCATCATTTAATGCATCGAAAAATTTTCTTGAATTGATTTTTTCGGCTAAATTTGATGACAATTACCATCTATTCCGTCACCACCTATTTTATAAAAGTGAAATGTGTTAAATTTGTGTTCATGTGCCAAAAAAGCACCATTTTGTCCGATTTATGTCTTATTACAAAAAAACAAAAATTAAACAAAATGGTGCTTTTTTAGACATTTATTACACATGAGCACAAATATTTAAATAAATTTTACTCACTTCGTTTTTATAGGGGCTATTTACCACCTATTTAATAGCATTTTACAACTTCGTAAAGATATGTTATCAACAATTTCACGAGAATTCAAATATAGTATATAATGATCATTCTAAAAAAAAAATAGTAATGAAATTATTCGTAATATCCTATTTTGATATTTTCGTTTGCGTTAATAATTTAGATTTTTTTTGGACATTGCGTTCGTTATATATTACGCACAACAAGTTCTCTCATTTTTATACCAAGATATTTTACGTTAAAATATCGTTTGCCCTTTAGTTCTAAGATATAGAATACATTTATTCATTCATTTAATTATTATTCTTAATTCGTGATCCGTCTCCAAACCAGTGAAATCTACTAATACATTTTGGGGAATTATTTTGCAAATTAATTTAGTGGGAAATTCAGATAAGAGCAAGAGATATAGCACGCAGGAAATGTGAAATGAACTTACAAATTATTAGAGAAAAGTAGTTTAGAAGAACTGCAAAATTACTAGATACATCACTCAATATAAGCAAAATATAGTACGACCTGTGTTTAATAGAAATAAATAATTTTAATACTTTTTTTTGTTTTTTCTTATTTATAACCTTTAAATAAATTATTTACCAGCAAATAAATAACATTTTAATAAAAAAATATCAATTTTGTGATTGTCACACCTCTTGTATTGAATAATTATGGCATTTTTAAAGGCCGGAATCAAGCGTCGCTAAAGAAAAAATTTTTTAACTAATCGTTCAATGTAAAAATTTTTAATGGATCCTGATTCCCTCGGTTTTAAGAAATTAGTTACACTATTTTTCAGCCAGGTTGTAATACAAATTTGGCTGGTTACTTTTTAGGCAATATCGCCAATTTGTATAACAACGTAGCCTTAAATGGCAAGTATATATTGATCAAACTTGTGATATTAATATTTGACGATGCAAATTTATCATTCAATATACCCAGAACATTATTATATAACACTTAAAAAAAAAAAATTCTGGGAAAATCAGCTCAAAAGCCATTTAAGTTATAATTAATTTGTAAAACCAGTTCCCTGAAATTTATTAGTAGTTTTCACTGGTTCGGAGACGGATCACGAATTAAAACATCTTGCTTAATTCAATTATTCAGCTGACGTACCCATCGCGCACCTACTGTATATAGTCAGTAGTTAAATATGGTCTACTGAAGGTGTACCACAATTTATAATTAGAGTAAGTAATCCTTAATTTTTTTTTTTGACGAATTTTGTTAATAATATTAATGAATTAATTATTCTGTAGGTTATGTATTTACAACGGAATAGTATTATATATGATCCAATTCCAATTTTTCTTTAATGTCCGCTGGTGTTTCAATAATATGGAAGAACATTGAATATTTGATATGCTATATTATAAAATTCCTTTTTTCTGTGAATATCCGAGAAAGGATGATGATACAGTACTATAGAAATTACATAAAGATTTTTTTCTTGCGTTATTGTTAAGTTTTTCTTTTTTTCTTTAAAAACAAGGAAATATACATTTATTAAGAGGTTTAAAAATAAAATTTTGCTAACGGAAAAAATTTTTCAACCATTTTTATAAACCTTTTTGTATGATTTGGGCGTTTTTTTTTTGCATCATATTTACATTCTTGTTTTTTTTTGCGCGCGCTTTGAATTATGACCAAATCTTCCGAAATAAATTATCTGATGCAATTTGAATTCATAATATTTGAAACACAAAACTAATTAAATTGTATTAATTAATCAGGTGATAATCTCTTTAAAATACATAATTGCAATATTATTTATCGTTACACAAAATTAAACCTTTAACAAGGACTAAAATTTCTTTATTTTCTTTATTTTCCTTTATTTTCCTTTTTTAGTTTAACCAATTAACATCTGAAGACAAAATAAATTTTTTGGTTTAAAAAATTCGATTTTTTATTTTCTTTATTTTCCTTTTTAAAAGATAAAAAATACCATTAAACAAGCTTCAACCAATCACTCTTCTAAAGAACAAAGCTCGAATAAATTAATGGTTAAATTACGTCGTTATATTAAAGATGAAAGAAAGAAATGTTTGAAAGTTTTTTTCTAATTATTTAAAGATAAACTACAAAGAATACAAAATTTATTGTTTGTAAAAATTAATTGATCATTCAAAGGAACAGTGGCCCATTAAATAATATTGAAAAAAATCAATATATAAATGGCTTTCCCACTTGTTCCAATTCAACTAATTCAGAAATCAAATAAAAATTTTTCAAAGAATAATTCTTTTAAATAAGAAATTAAAAATATCTAAACACAAACACAAAAAAATCTAAACGCTATAAAATGAATTTGCGTCTAATCTTCTTTGCTCTCTTGATTGTACTTATGGCTACTATCGTAACAGCCTCTCCTTTGAATTTAGATCAATTAATTAAGAGGTAAATACAAATACAATCATATTAATACTTTTTAAAATCAACGAAAGAAATCAATTAATTTATTAATTTAATCATTAAAGAAAAACTTCTCAAAAAGACAAAAGTCCATCGAAAGAAAAAGACGGCAAAGTCAAGGCTATGTTTACATCTCCTGAAGACGGCATAAGTAAAGGTGGAAAGGGCGGCCCCTAGTTTATTCATCATCATATTTTGTATATTAGAAACTTTTTATCAAGCATTATTGATTCTCACTTATTTAACATTATTTCAAAGCATGATATCAATAATTGATATAAATTATAGAATATTTTATATAGAAAAAAATTTTACATATATCTGATATAGTTAGTCATAAAGTCCTAAATTATTAACCTCATTCCCCTTCAATTTCAATTTTATTCTTTTCAGTTTAAAACTTCGATATTGTTTTCTTTAAAATTCGTACCAATTTCTTTTTAAAAGAATCAAATAGAAATGTGCTTTACAAAGTATTTTTTATTCACAAATAAGTGATTTTTTGTCTTCCGCAACTGCTGGATAAGGATTTCGTCATTTCGAAATTTAGTAATACCAAATTTGGGATGTAGTTTTTGTGTAAATTTTAAATAATGGGACAAATACCTGCCCAGATTAACACCCGTTCATAGTTGACTCTACGCGGAATTACACCGCTAGTATCTGTTATATACGGACAAAAAAAATGAGGATTTTATTTTTGATCATTAACGTTCAATTATAAAAAAAATCATGTGAAATTTATTTTAAAGCGTAAGATCAGCTGATTTTATTAAAAAAAATTTAATATTATACACATTCGCCATTATTTCAATAATTAACTTACAATATCGTCTAATTATTGACTTTAAAATATCGATTAGAACGATTTTTAGAGTATTTTAGCATTTCTCCATAATTTTTTTGTATTCGTTTCTCCGCCTTATTTTTTGTGATATCCTTATAATTTTAATAGGATTTGGGTCGGGGCTATCTCATGGCCACCTGAAACTTCTGATGAATTTTCTTTTAGACAGAGCTTAGAAAAATGATTATTATGCATGGTAGTTTTCTTGTTGGAAATACCAACGACTACAAAGCATCCGGGAGATCCCTGAAGCACGTGTACAAAAAATTTCTGCATAAATCTCGATGTTCATAAATTTGTCTGAAACAAAATAAACTTGCTTTTCCTTTCATAAACAACCGTCCCACACCATAATTTCTTATAATCTCCAGACGCACAACAAACTGGTCTTTCTTTCCTCTTTATATCAATATTTAACAGTGTTACTCGTAGTCACAGTCTCACAGATGTAAGATTTATTGTGTATTTAAATGGTACAAATTTAGTTTATTTTTGGCGATGTCGGTAGATCATTTTGGTCACGTGATCACTTTTCTCTACTCTAGTGATAAACACCTTTTCGTCTTAACTAAGTGCTAGTATAGTTAAGAATTAAAAAATAAATTAATTAAATTTCTTTAAAAAATATTTTGAAACTCATCATTATCAATAATTATTTATATTTTTTTCTACTCATTTGATAGTCCATTGGTGAGTAGCAGTAATTGTAATTAACATGGCTCAAAGGCTGAAAATACATAGAGGTAAACAATTATAAAAATTGAATAATTCTATAACTAACCAGTCTAATGTTTGTAAAAGTTAACAAAGTTTTTGTCTATTTATAAAATTTTACTAATATATTGTGTATATTTCAGTTTATATTAACTCTATCAACTAATAATTTCAATATTCTATGTATAAAATTTTGTTAATCTGAATCCGATGCTATATCACCCTTGTAATCGCTTTCTTCTTTTTACGTTTTTTCTTACTATTCAGTTATTATCTTTTGTCTCGTCTGAATCGTCCGAACTTAACTGAAATTAACTTCTTTTGGTTTTGTTGGAAGTAATGACCTTAAAGTACTAGTCTTTTACTGAAATCTTCTTTTAAATTTGTAAATTCTTCAACAACCTTCTTACAGTTTCCGATATGTGATGATGGTTAAGTCGACGGCGCAGGCGCTGGCGTTAACGTTATTTCAGTTTCTAATTGGTCCGTTGCGTCAAAATATAACTCTTTATCCACTGGAAAGTCGTCCGACTGTTGTTTAAATGAAGTATTTGTTGACTCGAAACGAACTTTTTTCGTTGGTCCCTTAAACTTATTTTTTTCATTGTTGCCAAATAATTCTTGTTGACTCTTTATTGAAGTCCACATCCAAATTCTTCTCTTGCTTCCATCGCCGATTTATAAATCGCCTCCATAATTTTTGATTCGTTGTTAAAGTATAACAATATTTTTAAAATGTGCTCATGATGTTATTACAAATACCGCCAAAATGAGCTTTTGTGTGTTACATTTAATCACGTGATTATTAATAATATGGACTAATTAAAACTTGCTCTACGTTACTCAACAGAAATCTTATATAACAGATAAAGATTTAACCGCCCAGGACATTTCCCGTTCTGGTATCTTAAGCTATATTTATATTTACTTGCTGTCATTTCATGCCTCAATATACGAACGACCACCTTTTACTCCACCAGGCGTCCTCTTACCTATGGACAAACTGAACCTCGCGGAGTGGCTATACTTCTGGTACTCCCACACAACGTACAGCCTACTATATGGCTCCTAGACCAGGTTATGGTATACCTTTAGGTAGGTGGTATATCACCAATGGCAGCTCTGGGTTCAGAAATAGAAAAATTAACAACTCTTTTCATTGGAGGGATATAACTGATGATTGGAAAAAATTCTCAAGATAGTGATCAATTATTTAATTTTTTGGTGGGCAAATGAATGCTATATATCGAAGTTGACGATGATTTTCCAATCGAAGGGATGGGGATTTTAATGTAGTACACTATATTATCAAATTGAAAGTGCATTAAGAAAAAACTTTATAATTTTCTTACGACCTAAACGCATATTATTTTGGATGCTAAAAACTTTTTCCCAGATAGTTTTCGAATTTATCTTAGTCTTGAAAGCTTTAATGCGCTTATTGGGCGCATGAACATCTTCAGGTGTGATTTTATCAAATACTTTAGCTGACAATTTATTTTTGTTTTTTTTTTTGGATTTGCTTATCTGGCGATTGCAAAGACTTGTGATACATTAAAATCTTGGAAACGAGTTAAAGACCAATCCGGAAATTTAAAGGCTTTTGAATTTGCGGAATATGCTGATGCTGATAGTGTACTGCGTGCTTTGCGTGTACTTGGTGGTGAAGGTTCGGGTGATGATAAAAAAGTTAATAGTAAGCAATCACTCCTTGATAAATTACTTTTTGATCCTAATTCTTCATCTAAATTATATATATATACACACCATTTGTCCACATATATTATAAGTTAAAGCCGATGAAAATACAAGAAAATATCTTGCTCAATATGAGGCTTCAAGGCCAGGAACGGTGGTCTGTATTAAACTATAGAAATAATTTTTTCTTTTTTTTTTAGCTATCATAATTGATATCAATTATTATCTTTCAGCATGATACAGAGTTAGATAAAAATGCGTTGTTGAAGACATGACTAAGCCACAGGATAGAAAAGATCTGTAAATTTGCAGCATGAAAATAAACTAGCTCATCGAACATCACCAGCTACAGAAATAAAAACAGAACATGGAGAAAAGGATTATGACACAGATTTACCGGCTGATCTTCCTCTAGATCAAAAGGATCTTCGTTATTTACCGAGAAATAGCATTCTTTCGAGAACGTGCTGCAGCAAGAGAACGAGAGCGTCAGAGAGAAGATGGAAAACGAGCAAATCGTAGAGCTAAAGCTGAAAAAGAAAGAGAACGTTCACATGGAAGGGAAAATAGAGAGAGAGCGTGAGAGAGAAAAGATCGAGATAGGCAATATCATGGACATTATCATCAACCAGTAAATTTTGTTCCTGCAAGTGAATCAAGACGCGAATCTTATATTTTAGACGATAAAGAATAGGAACAACGCAGACAAGCTAAAAGAAAAACTGAAACGGAAATGGCTTTTAAAGGGGTATATTAAATTATTTAAATTTGTTTTTGGATTATATATACTGATTTTAATAATAATTATCTTATATTAGAGAAAGAAGATGGCAACATAGGGAAGAAACAATGGCAACAAATCGTGAACGTGAAGCAGAACGAGATTTAGATGCTAGAGAAAAACAAATTCGAGATCGGGAAATAATGGCGAGGAAGTTAGCGGAATGGGGCGATGACATTGAAGCTCATCAGGAAGTTTTTGCCGGTTAAGATCTACTGAGAATTCTACGTGGAACCATCATGGAAATTCCAAGTGGAACCAATATTTTCCGAATACCCTGTAACAAACCACGTGGAGTGGATCCACAGAGTTCAAGATCGTTCCACTTAGTTTTTCTCATCGGAAAATCATAGAAAAATCATAAAGAAATTGTACCAAATACTACATTGTTTCAAGTATTATTTTATAGTGGCATTTACTATTTATTTCGTAAATATGCATTTCTTCAATTTTACAGTAAAATACGATGTAATAAATAATTGAAACCTATATATATTGAACTTTATAATCCACTGATACACATTATAATAATTTTCAGAGGCCTAAAAAGAAATAAAATAGTAGTTTTGCTAAGTTAAATTTCGAAACCACCTGTTTTCCTAATCCAAGATCGAAGCCAATCGAAGGAAGTTATAAAAATAAATAAGTAATGTTTCTTTTAAAAAAAATAAATAAAAAAAGAACCAAAGTTTCAAAATGAAACTTTGAACCTACTGTGTAACCAGTATCCAATATAAGAAGTACGTGAAAGGTACCTACAAGAGAACAAAAGAAGAAAACGTTTCTTATGAAAAAAAAAAAAATTTTTCATATACCAAATGTACCAAATGTATGCTTTCATTTTGAAGTCCCAAATTGAAACATTTATACCTACAAAAAAAAAGAGAAATGTTAACATTTCTTATAAAAAATAAAATAATTTAAGTTTTACAACATGAAACTCGCCATTTTTGAAGTTTTCCGAATTGAAATACTTATTCTTTCTTAATTTCACATGTATCCGAAGACTGATATGAAGATGGAATCTAAAAAACTGAAAAAAGAGATTATAATCAAAGACGAAAAAAAAAGAATAAATAATTAAAAAATTTTAAATCTACTTGCATTTCCACAAGAGAGCCATCAAAATCAAAATTTTCGAAAATATGAATGACTGAAAGAAAGAGTTTTCTCACGCTCAACTCATACTTGAATAACCAAGCCTTTCTACAATATGAAAAAAATCAAACCGTTAGAAACAGGTTGTTAAAAAAATAAAAAAAGAAAACTAAGAAGGCCTAAACCTACCAAAGCTTTCACCCATCCAAAGACCCAGAGTCTAAAATATTTCATTAAAAGAATGTTTTTACAGGGTTTTGCATCCAAAGAGCTAAGGAACAAAACCGTTTAAAAAAAAAAGAAAAAAAAATTAGTAATTGGACAAAATTAATAAATAATTCAAGAAGAGTTTTAACGCTCTGGACTATCTAAAAAAGGAAGAAGTGAAATGTTAAAAACGTTTCACTAAAAGAATTAATTGGAAGTTATACTAATAAAATCTCTGACGTATTATCCAAAAAATAAATAGTCCAACATATCTGTGACATCTTCTACTCCATAATGATCGTGACCCAGTTATTTTCCATACCATTTTTTGAAGGGCTCAATTGTTTAGTCCATATTTAAGTATGTACCGCCATCTACAAAAAAATATGTTAAAATGTTCGTATTTATTTAAAGAAAATCCCACTGAATTTTCCATGGATACATACTCCAAAATATAAATGCCTAAAAAAAAAAAATAAACGAATCTTTAGCAACAGTTCGTTATAATAAAATAAAGGAAATAAGAGAAGGAAAGGTGAAGGAAAGGAAAGTAGTGGAAAGGGCAATGAAAGAGAGAATGAAAGAATGAAAGAAAAAAGGGGGAAATGAGAAGAACTTAAGCTTTAAAAAAAAAAAGCTTAAGCTTTAACGTAAATGGTCAAATTGCAGATCATTATATTTTTGATAATAAATCGTTGATTACTTATTTGAGTTGTTGTTCTCTATTTAATACTATATCGTACTGGTTGAATATTATTATCTTTATTTTTAGTTTTCATATTAAAGTATGGTTCGTTATTAGAAAAAAAAAGAAATTAATTTAAAACGTTAAAAGAATATTAAAGTAGCTTACTAAAGTTTAAATCATGATTTAACGATAATATATGAGTATACTCGTGATGAACATGTGATTAACAATAATATAATTATATGATTATCAAAGTTACGTAAATTTTTAATATAACTTTTTAAAAAAATGTTAATACAAAACAATAGAACTATTTGCAAAAGCAATTATTACAGATTCAGTTACAGTAATCATAAAATATAAAATCAAAAAATCATTTACTGAAAATATTAGTATTCCAACCATTTATTTCAGTTTGTACTAAGCTTCTTTTTTAATAAGTGATTAAATTAGTAGTAGAACACTTTATTAAAAAAAATAAATAAAGAATAAACACTTTATACGTAGTGCTTTTAACTCCAAAAATGACATATTCTCTTTAAAATTAATCAACTCGGAGTTCCACAGATAAATTCTGCATATTTCGTAAATGAAATCCACATATTTCGCTAAAGAATTCCACAAATTTCCAATGGGATTTTACACCAAACGGAAATCTACACAATTCTTGAATAAAATACGTGGATATATGTGGATATATGTGGAAACATGTCCACATGATTCGATGTGTAGAATTCCACGTATTTCCGAGCTAACCTGCGTGGATTTGGGTGGATCGATCTACCTAAAAATTTCCTGATGCTGATAGCGGTCAAGAAGAATATTACAAAGACAGGTAGGTATATATCACATTCATCTTGTAGTAATCAATTTAACGGACAAATTATGAAGTTTAACTTTTTTTATAATTTATGTAGATCTCGTTGGTGGTCAGTTCAGAGCACGTGAATTGACTATAGATGAGGCAGATAGGTTGCGAGAACAGCAAGAAATTGAGCTTGAGCAACATCGATTGAGGAAGAAAGAAAGCAGCGTGAAGAAGCTATGGAAGCAGAATTAAACAATGAAAAAGAAATTTTAACGCTTTGCCACAGTTGGTGCTTCACAAAATAATAGCGTTAAACCAAAACTAACTCTTAATCTTGCATCAATCAAAACGTCGCGCGGCATTAATGGCCCTAGCTGAAGATGAGGAATTTGACGATGAAGAAGGTATTAAGTCAAAACGTAAACGTCGAATTTTAGTTCCTTTGAAATATAGTGATAATGAGGACGATGAAAACAAAACCGAAGAAAGGAAAAAGAAAATTAGTTAAAGAATTAGTGGCGACTATACCAACGGATAAAGGAGGACTTTGGAGGAATTAGATGAGGTAAGTTTCATATGTGGTTCATAATTTCTTCTTTTTTTTAAAAAATTTTTTATTAACTGTTAACATAAATAATTTCACAACAGAATATTCTTAGCGAAAAGTTACAGCCATTTGTAAGTAAAAGAATTGTTGAATATCTCGGCGTACAAGAATATGAATTAGTCTCTTTTGGTATTGATCATTTACGTAATAAAAAGTCAGCTGAAGACTTAACCAAAGGAATGATGATGGTATGTTGACTACTATTTGCACTAAATATCAAAGAGTAATTAATAAGCCAAATCATTGATTTTTTATATCCTTTGATTTATATACAGACTTTAGATGAGGAATCCGAGCTATTTGTAAAGAAAGAAATTATGGCGTATGTTAATTTTTGAAACGGAAAGTAAGACAAGAAAAATATAAAATGAAGATACAGCTTTTGAAAGGTTTCTAGAATGGGCTAGATAATTCGAAGTAATTCGAGGCAATGGCATATAACACGTAGCCAGAGTTTTTAATTTATATACTAGTATATATTGTCTATCGGATTCTTTTCATTAAAAATGTGATATTTAAAAAATTAAAAATTAAATATAATAAAAATTCATATATAATATAATTCTTTTTATCAATAGCAGATTGTTAAATAATTACTTAAGAGATCTATTTGTTTTAATTTTTATCCTATCATTTTAATGTTATCCCTATAAAAAAATATTGTCCAAACACTGTTCGGTTTTTTGTTCGGAAAATCGACCCCATTCCGAACATTTATTTGACATTTATTGGACATTTATCAAATATTGTATAATAGCGGAAAATTGACCTCATTCCGAATATTTATCGGACAAATATTTTTTATAGGGTATCATTGTTCAGTATCATCTCTAAATATCCTCTAGTAAATTATATAAAGATATAATGCAAAAAAATCTGAAGAACATTATTTACCTTGCAAGTTTCAGTTATCATCAATATCGTACTAATAAACTCAAATATTTACATTAACTATGCATATATTTTAATTAGAATTCGTTGTTATGTTTAGATAATTGAGAGAATTTTAATAAATTATCGATAAGTTAGTACTTTTACTGTAAATAAACATAACTTCATTATTACTTTGGCATGGTTATGCATTTTGCCGATATCTGAAATTCAAAGCACGTGCCAAGACGTCATACTCGAATAATTTTAAATATAAAGTCGAAAAACATTTATCATTCGTTATGTTTTTATAAAAAGTATGGTAAGGTACATGATCTGTAGTGCTCGATAACCGCAGTAATTATAGATATTGCTAATTTGAACGCACGATTGACTAAACTTACGTCTTGATTTTAGTCGATTTCAAGTCACAGTGTTAAGAGAATAATTTTTCTCACTTTCTTTATCCTGATTGTGCGGTATATAGTAGATGATGGATTTACATATTGTACTACTAATTGTAGTATATATACTATATTTATCAATTTTTATTATTAATACTATAAATATTTTATAAAGAATAATTAGTAACTATTATTCATAATTATAAGTTAAATAGAAATACTAATTAAACTAACCTTTGTAAAACGTAATTCCTGAAAAAACTCCGTGAATATGATACATTTATGAGAAAATAATTTAAGTAACTTAGATAATTTTCATGTTTGAGGCTAATAAACTCCGTGAATATTATACATTTACGGAAATAACATGGAATAAAAAACCACGGAAAAACAGGAATAAGTAAATTATTATTATATATTTATATTACCCTGTATAAGTTTAAGTGTATTTTTAAGTGTATTGTAACGAATGTAACGACTGTAACGTGTTACGTGTAGCATGTCATGTCTCTGTAGTACAGATTGTTATCTTAAAATAGATTGGTTTAACCGGTGATCATGACGATTAAACAATAGGAATGTCTCGTGTTAAAATTGTTGCTCCCTATCATTGTTTTATGCTAAATTAAGACAAACTTTTATGAATATCCTTCCAATACTGTTCTGCTTCACCAGAGTTGTCTCACAAATGGTAATGGTTTCATATCTCCAGGTACAATAGATGAGGAATAATATGTCAAAATGTCAGCAAATTGGCTTATTTATTGCACCATTTTGCATCCAATGATCATAGAGTAATACACCAAAATGTCAAAATTTTCTGCCAGCAATGATATCATAATTTTATTACCAAAATTATGATAAATTTTAATAAATTTAAAAAATTTAATATTTTATTCTATTTCCAGAATATTATTTGTGTGTATAATTTACTATATGTTTAAGTTCATGCTGCTTCCAAAATTTATTTGTACAATGAAGGTAATGGACGTTTTACAACTCCTTTGATATCAAATGCATGTGCAATACCAAATACTAGGTTCTGAATTACTTTCAAAGAGTGTCAGATGTTAACAATTAATTTTTCCATTTAAATTACTAATTAACTACTAATTACTAACTATTAATTGACTAATTCAAATTTCTATAATATACTTTCACAGTTTTTATAGTTAAAATTAATGTATTACTAATGAAAGCTTCTGTAAAAAAAATTCTTTGTGAATAAAAAAAAATGAAGACCGTGTATGTTACATCGATCACCACGTTTTTTTACACGTTAATTAAGCAACGCAGATCAGTTCTTGAAATACAAATTTGGTAGTATAGTAATAGAAATGCTTTTTTTTGAAACACATTTGATTATAATTTTTTTTTGAAACACGTTTGATAAAAAGAAAAGTTATTAATAGTTAATAAATAAATCAAGATTATAATGACGAGAAACATATATAAATGTTCTGTTGTTCTGCTGTAATCTCCCAAGTAAAAAATTTATCAATTATCATTATCATTTTTCAAATCTCTTAGTAAAAATGTTCAATTCAAAGATGTTGATCACCTTTGTCTGTTTATTATCCATCTGTTGCTTTTTTGCCTCATCTCAAAACGTACTATCTTCTTCTCAAAACACTTCATCATCTCAAACTACATCCCTCCAAGATATATCAACCCAAGATATATCATTCATTTATGAAGAACCAATTAAAGGGTTAAAACTTTATACTACTGTCACCTTTACTTTAGATAATTCTTTAATGATTTGGATGGCTTTTGAAGATAAAGATCCAGCATGCATGTTGCCTTATCTACATCTACGATTGATGAATAAAACAGGAAGAATAAAATATATGGATTTTAATTACACTCTTCCTTTGGAAGCAATTTGTCCCATTACTGCAAAACTTTTACCCTTAACTAAAAATCATGCAATGATAACTTATGTTAAACTAAACAATGGTGTTAAGGAAAAATATGGCATAATAATTAATTATAGCAATGAGTCTACTATAAAGTAAGTTTAAACAATGGAAATTCTTATTAATGAAAATCAATAATAGTGATTTAATAATAATGTTTTTTTTTTAGCGAAATATATTTAGGAAATGCTAATGGATTTGTTAGACGTAGCATAGTACCAGATAAAGGGCTTATTAGTATTGAAAAACCAGATAAAGAAGGAATAGCAACATGGCGTTTGTTTAGCCTTCCGTAAGTATTTTATGAATAGTAACAATTAGTATTTTTTGAAAATATTTTATTGTTTAGTCAATTAACTTTTTTACCTTATTTTAGAGATATTACAACAGGAAAAGTAGTGGAACGTAAAAATGGTGAAATTCATGCACCAAATCTATTATCCTATACCTTAGTAGATAGTTTAAACTTTTTATTAACAGATGGAGGTTTTGGTTTTATGTATATTTTAAAATATGATGAAACAAAAGAATCATCAGTAATAGATCCAAATCTTCAATACTGGAGAGTTTATGTATCATTCCTAAGGGAAGGTGCAGATTCCCCTACAATACCTTCTCTGGTTTATCAAACTACCAAAAAATTAAATAATTTAACAATTAAATCATGTTCTGTGACTTATAATGCTGAAGGATATGTATGTATTATGACATTAAATAATACGATTACAAATATTAAGAAGAGTAATAAATCACAGACTGAAATAAATTACTATCAGTTGAGATTTTTATCAACTGGGGCCTTAGAACGATTAAATATTATTTCTAATCCAACAAATAATACGGACATTGATTTGATCACTTTATATTACGGAGGATTTCTTGTAGAACATATTCATGATGCAATGGATTTTTATCTTTTAGATGATAGTGGTAATTATATGCAATCACAGGGATCTTTTGGGCCAGAGTTTGTTTATTTTAATATATATACTTTAAATAATACTATTGTTGGAATAAAGAATCAGACTAACAATAAATTAGAATTTTTATTAAAATCTTTACCAAGATTGAATAATCAGAGTAAGCTTTTAATTTCTTTTCTTTCTTTACATTCCTATAAAAAATTTCTGGAAAAACTCTGATAAATGATCATTTTTCTAGTTTTTATTCTGAAGAAACTTAAATATGGGATCATTTTACTGAAATTTTTTATAGGGCATATATATATATATTTTATTTATTTATTTATATTTATTTAATATTATTTTTTATCTGTAGGTACTGATTATTATTGTCCCGTAATTGAAACAACAAATCCAGCTATTAATGAAGTTGTTGATCCTTCAATTAAAGAAATAATAATCAAATATACCATTCCAGTAAAGTTATCAACTGGGAATGTTTCGATATTTCAACAAAGTGATGATTCAAGTAAACCAGCTCTATTAAGACAAACATTTTCGGGAGATTATAAACTATGTACTGTTGGAAGTGACAATTACACAGTGCATATCCCGATTTTTGAAAGTACATTTAGCCAATCCAATTCTTCCTATTATGTGTCGGTTGATAATAATTTTGTCATCTCTCAAGAGAGAGATGAACCTTTAATGGGAATTGGTAATAAGATTTGGATGCTTTCAACAGGTAATATACACATTTTTTTTAATAATTTTTAATGATCAAATAGAAAAATTAATATTCCATTACTATATTTAGAACCACTTAAAATGGTACGATATTCAGATTCAGTTACTGGATTACTTCGACTAAATGAGGAAGGAAGTTTAAAATTTCTTCAAACGAATCATTCAGTATTTTTCAAGAATATGATTCGTGAATTTTCTAAAACAATTCCAGTAGCTGAACAGAGATTATCGACAAGTGGTAGATGGCAATATGACCCTACTTCTCCAAAAAAAATATTATTGTCATTTAAAATAAAGGAAGCTAAAGATGATCATGCAATTGAACCAAAATCCCAAACAATATTTGAAATTTTAAGAACCTTGATCAAACAAAAAAGGTTTACTGCACTTTCATCTAATGAATATACATCTTTAATTGATGAAAGTGCACCAATTATAATGACCCGTAAGTGTATTCATTAAATATTTTTGACATTTGTATTTGATTAATATTTTATTAAATTTTAATTCTATTACTTTACAGGAAATTATTTTGAAGAATTTCGTTTGTTGATTATAATATTTACAGTAGGTTTAATTGTATTAATAATATTATATATTTTGGCTCGTCAAAAAAATCCTGAAGCCAAAAACTCTGTAATATTTGAGACCTATTTTATAATACAAGATTTTGCTGTGGATCTAGCATTTGTATTATTAAAAGTTAA